AAGAAGAAGAAGAAGAAGAAGAAGAAGAAGAAGAAGAAGAAGCGTACCGGAGCTAGAAGGCTAAGCTAACTAAAACGGTGAGATTTGGTTGCTTTTTCATTCTGAATGGAAAAAAAAAATGTTTGCAACTTGGCTCGCTTTTATCCATTTAAAACTAAAAATGTCTATAAAAAAATGTTCTAGATATCTGTTGCACTTACGACTAGAAAGCCCGCCCTTCACGTCAAATGTAACGTGAGGTTTGGTTATAATATTTTTGTCAAACAGAAACGTTGGTTAGCTAATTAGCTTTCCAGCCACTGTAGGTATTGTTTTGTAGACTTTGTTGCCATAGGAAGAAAGTCGTGGTATTACGATGTACAGTAATCAATAATATGGTCAACGCTTAAAAAATCCGGAGCATTCGTGCATTAATTGCAGAAGTTTAGCCGGTTCAAGAATTGCTGTATTTCATTTAAATATCGTGGTTTTTTGTGCGTTTAATTAAAGCGTGACCACTCCCCACCCACTCACACACAGAATGACATGTACTGTTTAATGCTTTCTCCGTGAATATTGTATTAAATATTGTATTAACACTAAAGAAATTATCTTTCTAGGTTTTTTTGGAAGATCTTGTTTTCACAAAGGCATTTACACTAGTAAGTAATTACTTTCATTTGGCATTCTCACAGAGACAAAATAACAAATTAGATTTGTTTTTATTATTACACGAGCCTAACATTGGGCAGTTTTGATTTCTAAAGGTAGTTTGGCAAAATCAGTGTAGATGTGACACCCAGCAACCGATTCATTGAAGCCATTTGTCTTTTCTCCTAACTGAACAGATAACAATCAAAGCGGTCTGTTTTGTGTAGCTGTTTTATTATTCAAAAATCCATTTGTAGCTCATTGTTTTCCCTCTTTTCTCTTTCTAGTGACATACAGGAGYGAGAAAAGTATACGAGAGATGTATGATGAACGCTTTATACCCGAGCGACCGGTGAGTGGTGTCAACAGATTATCCTAGCTGCTGCTCCTTCGTTCTTTCTCCTTTTTGTTTTAGCAAATTAAACACACAAGTAGCTGAAATTTAATCTTTTTCCATCAGCCCATGTGTAAATATTTTTAAATCTAAATCGAATCAGAAATACCACTCTTCTGCGCAGGGTCCATACCCACGGGTGTCAGGAGGTGCAGAGAGGAGAGGCCCCTTTAGCAGGCCAGATGAAGACTATGGTCGTGGCGGCGGGTACGAATATGAAGGCGGTCCCCGTTTTTACCCAAACGGAGGTGGCCCACGAGGTTACCACGAAGAGCAGAGGGGCTACCAAGGTGAAGGCCTTCATTTTCCTGAACGCAGAGCCATCCCACCCGCACGAAGGGTAAGCACGTGAAAGTTATTTCAATAATTACTGTGTTGTAGGGTTGGGCATAATCGTATCGTGTGCAATTAATCGTCAGAAAAACATTAATCGATTACTTTTTGGCACTTGATGATTGATACGATTAATGCCACCAGGCAGACTGACTGGGGATTACTCCGGTTAAGTCCGCTCGATGTTCCTCTCCACTTCAAATATGACGAATATTAAAAATAAAGTTCTGTATTTATTTATCTATCAACACAATTTTAAATTTGACATACAGCCTGAAGTCTGTAATTCTGGCACAATTTGGAACAGATTTTTATGAAGAGCAAATCTTTCCCACTAAATTGGTCATGTGACTATGACGTAAGAGTGTCCAGGGACTCCAGGGGATTAATCGTCAAATTAATCGTTATCGGCTAAATACCACAWTTAATCGTGGTTAATTTTTTTGCAAATATTGCCCAACCCTACTGTGTTGTATTTTAATTTAATCAGAAAGCTAGCCGTGAAGAATAAAAAGTTAAACAGACCACTTAAGGAAGCCAAACTAATGCAATCATCAGTGCATGTAACTTCATCAGTGCATGTAACTTCATCAGTGCATGTAACTTCATCAGTGCATGTAACTAAGTAAATGTAAAATCAAAGATGTAATGAAAGTCTTGTCTTCAAAGCTCCCAAATTTGGTTAAATTAATACAAAATCCATCAACAGTTTTAAACTTAAAAAACGTAGTACTGACAAATATTATTTTAAGTCTAATCCAAAATTATAAAAGTTGGATATTGAGAATGAAAGGTTCTAAATATTTAAGCGTTACGTCAACTGGCAAAATGTCAATAACACCAGCCTTCTGTGAATTAATTAATGTAACAATTATCCATAAAAGCCAAGACAGATGAATGACTTAATTTGAGTGAGGCGACATTTAATTCAAAGCAAATACTGAATTTTGTCCAAGCACTTGGAAAACCTTCTAAAATGATGGTCTGTTGCTGCAATTTGGTGTATTCAGACAGAAAATAGAGTCTTCGTTGACCTATGAAGGCACCATTTTTTACTGCATGTTTTAAATCACAAGATGCTTTATGCTTTTGTACATTTTCACAACCCCTCCCCTTTGTGTGCTACAAAATGCCCTTTTTTTCTAGTGAACCAAGTTCTTTTTGGCGCTGGTCTTAAACGATCCAGCATCCAAATGCTGTTATATGCAGGGTTTGGCAAATATTCAAAATAAAATCATATGGCAGGTGGCTCATAATTAAAAAAAAAAAGCTCATCAAAGTTTTTTTTATTCTTAAGATGGTGAAAAAAGGTAARGTGCAGCAGTGTAATTCCTTGATAGATTTCTTGTAGTGAAAGGTTTAGAAAATGGCTTTTAGGTCAACTGATGTGTAATTCTCTTTTAAAGTCGTGCATGCTAACTCATATTGTGCACTTCTTGTTTTGAAGGAGGATTATCCTTACAGAGTACCCAGAGAAGAACCACACCCAGGACGGCAAATAGAATTTGGGTAAATGTCTTTTTGTTTATCAAGTTCCTTACCTGTGCTATCACTTAAAAATATCAATTTTAACAATAAACTCAGGGTCATGAGTCTTTGCAACTTTTATTTTATGATTCAAAAATGGAAAAATTTGGAAACCACTAACTTATAATATATAATAAATAAAAGTCTGTACTTAAACTTCAAATTTACTCACTTTAGGCTACTGGTTATAGCTGATAACATGATGCTAACCTGTCCGAAATGATCTCGGTATAGTAAAGCAAGACAAGATGCCTTAGTGTGGTGCATATTGTTAGGTCAACATACCAAGCCTGCCGTTGTTGTTTTTTTTTTGCAGCCCAAATTCAGCTTTTCATAAAGTAGTTTATTAAATAACAGTTATACGTTGAGATTAAATGGCACAACACGATTTATTATTGCAGTAAAATTTAGATTAGTTTTTGTTATCAGCATTGAGAAATGGAAAGGAGGCACATCAGTCTGTTGGCAGTTTTAGGAAATAACATCTCACAACGGCTAAAAGTCAACGTGACAAGTTTTGTAAACAGGCAGAGCGGTTTGCGAAACCTCTTGATTCCAAGAAAAACAAACCGTTCATATTTTGAGAGCGTAACCAAGTGATGATGGTCTCTCTGAATATTGATGTTTATTTGTCCTGTTATCCCCCCTCAGTGCCCGCGCACCACCTCCTCATAGTGTGCGTAGCCAGGGCATGTATCCAGCACCCAGATCGCTGCCGGAGAGCGGGGAGGACACGTTGGTGCAAGCCATCCGGAACCTGGACAGAGGGTACGAGGAAATGTATGCTCGAAGCACATAAACGTCTTAATTGTTTAAATATTAGATGTTTGTTGCCGACAAGTAATGCTGCAACCAGAATGAAGAATGGGTTAAACACTAGAGGGCGACATTGTGTTATGTTAGAGCCAACCAACAAAATTTCTGTCCACACAACTCTATGTTTTGGACCAATTGAATCCCTTATTTTCTCATGCTTGCTTTTATCTTCTTTTATTCCCAGGGAGGAGAGAGACCCCTACAGAAGAAAGGTGGCCCTGTTTCCTCCCATCAGAGAGCGTTCCCCCGTGCGCCGAGAGGTGGCCCGCTCCCCCCACAGTCGCTCCGGCTCCAGCGTGAGCAGCAGAGGATACTCACCAGACCGAGCCAAGAGCCTGCCTTTTCCCGCACAGCAAGGCAAGAGTATGTAGACAGCTTGGCTTCTCTTTCTGTGAAGCATGAAGCTGTAAAAATAAAATAAAAAAAAACTATAAATAGTTTAAGCTATTTATAGTTGGAGCATAACGCTAACACACTAATCAGTACTTACTGTAATTTATCTAACATTACAGCGTGCAGGTTAATTGTTACATTATTAAAAGGACAATATAACATGTAAAATGTAACAAACATGCATTTTTGTTTTTAAAATCAACACTAATCAGTCATTTCAAACTCATATAGCAGAAACAAATTAACATAACTTAACAGTCCAGCCACAAAAGTGTGTGTTGATTATTTCCCACCACTGTATGTCCTTGACTGATGATCTGGCTGATTGGCTTTTCAGGCGTGGACGGTCCAGAAGGTCACACGGGTGCTTCTGAGCACCTCTGGGGGGCGCTCTTCACTCAGCAAAGCGGACATGACACTTTGGGTCTGTACATTAAGCCATATGAGCAAGCTTGGACGTGGGTGAAGCCCTGACTTACAACCTTGTCGTGTCAGAAACGTGTTAGGAAGTGTTGTCTCGAGAAGGATGTAAGCTAAAGGGACGAGATCAATTGAACTGAACAAAATTCAAGATTGGGCATGCAGAAAACCTAAAACAACCTAAATTAACTGAAGTGAGGTTTTTGGCACTTGTTTTTCTTTTTCACCCAGGCCTCAAGTAAAATGTTTCATTAATCCTCTTGTTGTCTAAAGTAGAACCAAGTGGGGACTTTCTTGTATTCTTATAAGTAGGGGTGTAACTTGCATAACAGTGACTTTTTATCAATATTTTAAGAAAATTATCCTGCCTCCTCTTCCTTGAATCTCTTCAGACCTGAGAACGGAGTCAAACTCACTTAAAAAGGGTCAAATTAAAACTTTTCATTTATATTTTGACCAATTATTGCTCATATTTAAGTGTTTTTCAGAACTGATGTGATGTGCTTTAACAGGCATTTATCTTTAACAACTATGAAGGCTAAGAACTGAAGAGGACATTAGAGTGAAACTCTGTTCTAACTGTGCAGGTCCTAGCACCCATGTTTGTTTAAACTGCCTAAACAAACAGTTCAAAGTGATCGGGACATTTTCAGTAATAATTTCATAATTCATGACACTTTTTTGTTTTGCAAGACAGCTTTCAGATCGTTGAGAAATCTAAGATTTTAGTCGTGCAGGATCTTGTTACACCCCTACTCATGAGCCATTTCTACTTCCTGTAGGGAAGGTTCATTAGTGTTTTCTAATCAGTCATGGCATTTTATAAATGAAGGAACATTTTAGATTTTGTAATATTTTTAGTTTTCTAGCTTGAGGGTGGAATACATASAGTATAGGTGCTAAAGTATCTCCTTGCTTCCTGCATGTTTTGTTGCCTTCAACCTTCAGACTTCTGCTGTTCTTATTTATCTCTCCTAGACATTTCCATTTCATCTTGAGCTTTCCCCTTCAAAATAAGAGCTGAGTTCATTGTTCATTTTCACACAAGATAAAAGCTCTAGATTTTTTTTAACAGTTAAGACTTGCATGATTTACCTGCCTCAATGCTTAGCTACTAATGTCTTTAGTTTTGGGCAGTGACTATGAGAGATGGAAGTTAGATTTCCCAAACTTAATGTGACAAACTGCTTAAGATTTGATCTTCCTGCTGGACATGAAGTAACTTTTCAGTCCAAAACAAKTGATCAAGTTAATTGTAGTTGTAAAGTAATTATTGAATGATTTTATGTTTAGTAGCTACAATCTCTTTTAACTTCATACATATTCAAAAGTATTGMGAGAAAAAAGTGGTCCACAGCTACATGTGCTTTTATTTATTTATTTTTTCTGATCTCGTAAAACTGAACTAACCATATCCGATCATGTCAAATTACATTTTTCATAATGAACTTATTATTTTATCAAATACATTTCTAATAGTGGACAGTTTAAGCACTGCTCCTGCTGTTATATTTTAATGTAATATGTAGTCGTGCTACAGAAATTACGCTCAGCGTGTTTTTTCTTTTTAGTACAAATCCATAAAAGCTGACTGAGGTGACACACTGAAGGTTTGTTTCAGATCTATTCAAGGCTTACGGTCGTTAAACTCGACCTGTTCTCGGTCACGGTAACCCGAGTGGATGGAAAGCGTTTCTAATGTGTCCTGCAGGAAGTCCTGCCCCTCGTCCCGTCTCCCACTTTGTCAGGCCTCATAAAGATGCCACCGGCTCGTGCGTGGAAGTGCAGGGGAAGGGTATAGTGTGTCTGATGAATATTCCTGAAGCCAAAGCTTACACTCTGGAGTGTTTTTGTTTCGTTTTGGAGCGTGTGGCGTTTAACGTTTGTTTAAGAGTTCTTGCCTGTGTGTAGACTCAAAGACCATGAAGAAAACTGGTTGAGGATTAAAAAGCAAAGCGCATCTATAGAGTAGATGTTATTCATACATGCTTTAAAATTTGATACTTGTGTAGATCCAAATGTACTTTGTTTTTATTTCCAAGAGTTAATCACATTGTTAATACTTATTCTGCAAATCACTTACCACTAAATTTCTATCTTTAACTGTTTTCCCTTTTTTTTATTCCTTTTTTAATGTTTTCCTTTCTCCAGTTTATTTTTTTATTTTTTTCTAAATCAAATCTTGTTTTCTTCATTTAAAATGTCATCGCATCAATGGTTTCGTCTCTTTCTCCCATGTTTTCTGGAAACTATAGACAAAATTCCCGGCTTGTCAAGAGAAGGTTCCCCACAAAGTGCAGCATCAAACAGGGTGAGTTCATGGAAAAACAAATCACAAACCTGTACTGCCTCTTTAGGTCTTGATGTGTCTTTGAGAACTAAAATATCTTCTGGACACATTTACACAACTATGAATTCTGCAGCCAACCCAGTTGACCAGCCACAACTAATCAACACAAGTCAATTAATGGTTCATTTTCCTATTTATTGGTCACGCAGGACTCTTGCCTCTGTCACCGGACAGCAGGGTGCATCTGGAACATCTTAAATCCCATCCTTCCTTTAGGCATTTACTCCCTCTGGAGCATGTTAATGGGTTTTAAAGTAGCACTCACACAGCTTAAAAGCCATCAGGCCGGCACTTTGTTTACTCGTGGCGTAAACAAACTTCGGTCTCAAGAACTTGCAGCGATCGAGGAAAATGGCTCAAATGTTGACAAAGTTTTAAAAAAAAGTTTTTTTTTCACTTCGAATGTGTATTTCTCCTGAGTTGTAAATAGTAGTTTGTTTTGCTGATATCATCCATCTTCAGCTGTGCAGAGACGTGTAAATAGAGTTCGATGTGATTAGGAGTTGTGCGTGTGTGGCAGTGGCCACCCTGAAGCGACGGGTTAAATCAGTAGCCCGAGTCATAACTTTATCACATGATCTTAACTGCAAAGCCAGCAGAAGTCCCCGCGGAGCTCACTGAGATGTGTTTACGCTGTTTACAATGAACAATCGTCTCCTTTTGCAGATGAATATGTCTGTGTTGGGTGACTGAGTGTCTGCTAGATGCTGCAGGTCATGGGTCTTATGAATTTTTAGAAACTGATGCGCAATGTCACACTCAGGAAGCACTAAAGTCAGAATATGTTTATTTATTTGAGCCTTGTAGGATAAATGGAAGCAGTCTGAAAGATTTGCATGTTAATAACTTGAGTGTTCATTAAGTGCTGATTCAATAAAAAGTTGAATGCTTTAATTAAAATGAATGGCAAAGCTGCTAAATATTTCTTTTATGGCTCGTTTTCATTCTAGTTTTGGCATTTTCGTTTTGTGGCATTTTATGAATATATCAAAGCCTTTTTTTTAACTTGCCTGCATTTATTTAGTTGAACTTATTTAACCAGGACATTGCCTGAGACTAAACATGATAATCCTTGATGTTCATTGTTTTAACAAATTATTATAATGTAGTTAAAATTAAAACTTTGAGAGCCTTTTAGCTAAAACATCAATGAGATTTTTTTGTATTTATTTTTTTTATTCATGGCAATAATCCAAAAACTGATTGCAGTTTGTGCAATTTAGGTCTGATTTTTCGTCTGTAGAAATGTTTACAGGTTTGTTGCAGGGTTATTATAGTTAACTAAAACTAACTAAATAACGAAAACTTAAATTGAAAAAACATTTTAGTTAACTAAAATAAATAAAAACTGTAATAAAGTGTATTACACAAGTCCACTTTGGGATTTCTTTGAATATGACTAAGAAAAATAAAAGCAAGTGTCTTGTAGTGGAAACGGGTGATAAAATAGGTGGAATACTTCTCAAGGGAAAAACTGCATAAATCAAGCTCACAAAAGATGGCTAACTGTGAGTATCTTGACACGCTACCTTCTCTCAGTAGCTGCCATGAAAAACAAGCAACAGGTAACACCAAGTTGGAAACAACTATTGTCATTGTCCTAAAATAATTGGCCAAGTCTTTAGTTGGCAAAATTGAGTTACGCAATTATTTTAGGAAGGTGTTGCTATAATGGACGCTTTAACTAGTGACCAAATAGCTGTTGGTTAGTTAACTCACAGGAACGTCACAAGCTTGAGGATGCATTAGCAAAAAAACAAGAAAAAAGTAAGTATTAGTTAATAAAAATAAATAAAAACTAAATTAAGCTAAGCATTAAAAACGCAATAACTAATAAAAAGCAAATCCACTGTAAAAACTAACTGAATTAAAAGAAAAAAACTCACAATAAAATAAAACTAAACTATAATGAAAAATCCAAAACTATTATAACCTTGGTTTGTTGCTAGTCAGACCTTAAACACACCACTGCTTTTTTAGTGGACACTTTGTGTCTTAGGAAAAACTAAGTCACTGACACAGGACAGAGTAACATTCAARACTTAACATTTTTATAAGACAGGAGTTAATCCACTTTGATCAAAAGGACCATAAAACTACATCTTGTGGCTCTGTGGAATGGTTTTGTTTTAAACATTAGTAATCAGGATACATCTTTAAAAAATATTTTGGTTCTTTTTTTATTTATTTTTTAACTATTGCCCTGTACCCAAGTTTTTGGCTAATGCCCCACCCTTTTGGGGTGAACACATCCACACACGTGCTTGCATCGCTGTGCTTGATCCAGCCTGCAGTGCATTGTTGCGTTCTGTTCTCGGGGCACAAACCCATAACCTCAGTCGAGATGAAAGGCCCGTCCTCTGCCCTCAGTGAAGCTTGTTTTAACGGCCCGAGTCACCACCTGCTGTGGAGGTTCAACAAAACACTCATGTAGGCTTTCTGGAGCCACACCGAAGAGACCGGGAGGTGGGGGTGGGGGGTACCTATAGAGGAGCTCTGCGTCTGGAAGTGAGCCAGGGTGGTGTTATTGCAGAGGCAGTAAGGTCACCTGAAGGTTTCAGCTTTGTACAAAAACCTTCCTGACACTATGAACACAGTGGTTTRAGTTTGCTCCATGTTCTCATACACGTCTTCTCAGGCATTATTATTGCTTGGACCGACTGGTGTTTCATTTGTCTGTTTAAAAAAAACATCATTAAAGAATATAACATTTACTAGAACATGGAAAATATGAAACTTCGGTCAAGTCCCTGTTTTCTGTTTTCAGGCCAAACAGCCCCCCCCCCCCCCAATAAGAACATGATTAAAACCACTTTGGTATAAACCTGTATTCTCTCTTAGCAGTGCAGTGGTAATTGATTACACATACCCCTGAGATGAATGGCATTCCAGTTTTGAGCAAAAACGTCTGCTGAGCTTTGAATTAGAACATTTTGAGTTTTGTTCCCAACCAGTTGAACTGAAAGCCTCAGACATGGACTTTATTTATTTATTTATTTTTACAAACTCMGTCTTTCATACGCATGTTCTAAATGTAGGACTTCATCCTAGCATAGCTTCAGGGATCGTTTGGATGGAGTAATTGGGTGATTCTTTAGAAGTTATGTCTTATTATTTCAGATGTTCCATCGCCTGATATATCTTTACTCAGACATCTAGGAATATGACTTATTCCGTGGCCGTTTCCAGTTAATGTATGAGTGGACATCAGTCATGGTCGGGCAGTTCTGCACTTCGGCCGTCAGACTCTAATAGTATCAGGAAATGGGTAATATAAATTGAGCAGTGATCCAGGCTGGCCTCATTTCCTCTCTTTGTGTAGGTAATGCTTCTTAAGGCTGGACTTTTCARGTTTCTTCAGTAGAAAGCTCATTTCTGCTTGTTTTGTTGGACTTCCTGTACTCAGCTGGATTGCATGTGTGAAAATGTAGACCAATTTAAATCAAATATAGTATGAATGTCTTTGCCTTGTCAATGTCACTTGTGTATGTTGTTAGTAAAAGTGGGTCACATCATCCTATTGAAGCAGGGCTACAAGTTACTGAATCACATCTTGTTCATTTTTTAGCATCTGTTGTATAAGCTTGTTTTTTTTTTCCAAATCTTTCTTACAGCATGCAAAACAACCTTCATGGTCTTTTCATTCTACTGTGTTCTTAAAGCCTTGATTCTCTTCTTCCTCCCTTCTCTTTCATAGGAGGAAATCAATCCTCCAGAAGAGAAAGAGGAACCAATTTTGGCTCCCGTTGTCGAAGAGTTCAAAAAGCTCACAGAGGACTTTGAAGAGAGACGAGCCTTGTCCATCGCCGCTAAAGCGCAAGAGATTGAAAAGGTAATGGTGTTTGTGTTTACTGACAGCAAGAAGAAAAAAGATAACTGTACTCCTTTTTAAACTGTAATAGAAAATGAGACGAAACAGTCTTAAAACAGTTTGTTGGACCTAAGAATGCAGGCTGAAAAAAGGAGCTTGAAATGAAAACTAAAGGATACTTTCAGGAAATAAAGGCTGAGGCAGGTACTCTAACTCGATGCGTCCACCATTACGAGCAGAAAAAAAAATCTCCGGTCGGCCCACAATGCATTATGGGAAACAGTGGGTAGAGAAGGATCCATCTGACTCGTGCTACAAATCGGAGGAAAAAGGAGGACGCTTTTGTCGGCCGTATCGYAGGATTCTTCGAATTTGGACAGCCTCCGGCGCAGGGATGTAACTTAAGCGGTCGACAAAGTCGGCCTTTTGGAGGACACAGCCAGGGACTAAAAAGACTAGCCTAACGAAGGATGAGCTGCAGCTGAGAGTAATGGGAATTGGAAACAGGTGTAGGTGGGCATGGCAGGATGAACTGAACTGATGTCAGAGGTACATTGGTGGACAGAACAAAAATGCAGAAAATAAACATCCAAAAAGGAATAAACATTAAAAAATGACGGACCTTGACAGAAGTTGCTCAAAATCTGGAAAATTCAACCTTTACGATCCTCAATAGCAATTAAACTTCAAAACCTTTCTATAAATGCACGCTCCATTTATTTACCGTATGTTCCTGTTTTTATAAGAGGTGGCATTGAGTTCTCTGACTCACACATCGCTTATTAGACTGAGCTTTACTCAAGAAGCCTAGGAACTTTTTAACAAAGTCTGTAATCAAGCACAGCTTGGACATGAATCTGGATTATACCTGCTATAAACTGAGACCGCTTAACTGAGCTCGAGGCACCCCGGGGGCTGAATGTTTAGAGCTGTGAACGGTTTTCTAACGAAGATCATTCCTGCACCAGTGAGCGCCACAGCTGGTTTCCTCAAAACCATTAAACCCGAGCCAAGTGTGCCCTGGAGCAGGCAGCGAGCGGCACCACTGAACCTGCGTTCCAGTGCAACGCTGGAGCTTCTCTCCCATTTTATGGCTCCACTCTTTTCTCCACGTGTTCCTCTTCAAGAGTTTCTGTATTAAAATCATTAATGTTTCATTTCGAAGTTGTTTTTTAATGGAGCTTTTGAAAAAGCATCTTATTTGTGTCTTAAAGTAGTATCTTTGAAGGCGACTAAGCTACGATCAGAGAGCACCGGTTTAAAATTGAGTATAAAGTTTTAGACTTTCTCTTCAGGTTTTCTCTTCCGTTTGTAATGGTTTCAACTTTCTGTTCAGCATTTTTTTTTACGTAAAAAAGATTTATGGATTGAAACACAGAACCTGCTCAAATGAACATCCTTCCACAACGTTTTAATTTCTTTCTCACAGGTCACAAAGTGCAAAAGGAAAAAATAGGATTCAGCATTCTAGTGGTTCCATGAGTGACAAAGCATTCAGGCTGTAAAAGGCTTTTTTTTCCCTCTTGATTGCCCAGGCTTTGAAAGAGTTTATTATTAGTTGAGGAATATAAATATATTTGGCCACAGGACAGCCATTGAAGTTTGTCTATTTTTTACATCCAAAGAAAACCGAATTGGACTGAGCCCCAGATTCTCTTTATCTTTGCTGTGTTGCTTTTTATTATCCGAAGCCAGGCACAGTCCAACATACACTAATCTTCCACCAGTGGATAAAATAAATTRGACACACTGCTTAAAACGCCTAAATAAAGTAAGGGCTAAACAACAGTCTGTTCTGATGAAGAGTGTGTCCTTTCCTCCCTGATTTCAGGAAGTGTGTTTGAATACAGGATGGACATTTTTGTTGTAGAGAAATAAATTCTCTTTTAATCAGAGAAGTTGTTTTTATACTGATTGGATGCTTCCTGACACAATTTAAGAAATTCATTTAAATATTGATTACAAATAAACTTACTTAGTGCTTTTACTTATTTATTCCTTATCTCAACCAAACAGCAGCTGCTGAATCAGGCACCTCGTTAAAGCCACTATTATCAATTTGCAGCATGTATGAACAGTATTTGGGCGTGTACTAAGTCTTTTAAGAAACATTTTGCTTGTTAAGATTTGACTGTTGTTTTTTTTTTTGGTTGCTAAATCCATTAACTTAGAATAAAATGCAAAATGTTTCCTAACAGATCTGCTGTCTGAGAACATGGTGAGAATCCATAAATATGAGCTGGAGCATRCTGCAGCATCTACAACCGATGAGATCCAGTAAATGACTGAAAGTCTCGGTTTGCGTGACATAATTTTACACACCAGGTGTACAGAGACGTGCCTGAACACAGATCAGCGCACAGCCCTCGTCCCTGGATGTGTTTATGAGCCTACGGCGCAGATTTGGTGTAATAATCAGCAGTATTAGTGGGCTTATTGAATAAGTGCGTTTGTGATTCAGCTGTCTCCAAATGATTCCATTCCTCACTAGATTCTCCTTTTGCAACTGTGTGAAAGRGACTTTGAAGGTTCTGTGTGAAATGGCAACTCCCAAACAAGATTGCTGCACCCCTTTTTCCCTCTCATTGTCCCCCTGACACCAGGCGGAAGCCTTTAAGCCACTAATTAGATGTGGTTTTATTGTTCCCCGGCCTGCCCCGGCCCGTATAAAGTGCCCTTATTAAAAGTGAGAGAAGCGGCGTTTGTTGTTTGACGCTGCACAGTGCGTGTGTTCACACCAGAGTGATCGGTTCGGTCGCGGTGTTGTGGAGTGTTTACACCCAGGCGACAGGTAGAGCAGGAAGGAAGCACTTCATCACCCCCAAATTAAAAGCTTTTCTCTCAAAGCTTTCGACCCTTTTCACTAAAGTCTACAACTGAAGAAATGGGTGCAAGTTGGTTTCCTGAGAGTGTTTGTGACCATAAACTTGCCCTCCTATATATTTTTTTTGTTTTGTTGTTTTACCTTTTTTGATTCATTGCCCACTGCCTTTTTTTGTTGTGAATGCTGAGTCAYCATTGAGTCTACGTTTTTTTTCTTTTCATCTTACCAATTATTTTCTTTATTACTATTCCTTGTAACTTACTAACTAAGTTACTTACTTACTTACTAACTGGAGTTTTGCCCATTTTGGCTACTATCCTGCCTTTTTTTTAGCTTTAACAAATCAATTTCAYATTCTTTATCAAATTGCAAGTAATTCATTCAGCATTCAGAACTACATTTTTTGCAGAAAATCTGCTTACAAGATAAATCTCCTCAACTACTGGTTAGATGGATGAAACTAAATTGACTCTCCTGTCCACCTCCAGATTTATCGTCAGGACTGTGAAACGTTTGGAATGGTGGTGAAGATGCTTGTGGCCAAAGATCCGAACTTGGAGAAACAGCTGCAGGTGCCGCTCCGGGAAAACCTCGGGGAGATCCGCGAGCGCTGCTTGGAGGACCTGAAAAACTTCATCAACGAGCTGGACGAGGCGGTCCTGCAGACGGAACAATCTGTTTGTGACTTAGCCGCTCCCTCCACGTCCAAAACAACTCCCAAACTCTCAAAGACGGGCGTGAGCAGCAGCTCATCTTTCTGAAGCTGCTCTGTCTAAAAAAAAAAAAAAAATACACTTTTTTTTTTTTATTTTTACAAGACTCATGTAAAACTGGAAAATAAACACAAGGAAATTTAAAAAGAAAAGTTAGTTTTAACTTATTTCTGTTCACACAGACAGAAAAGTTATTGGCCTTCTCAGTTAGTAGCATTAGCTTAGATTTATAGCTAGTAGGCAGCTAACACACAAAGCTAAGCTACAGCTAATACAGAAACATTTTGGATATCTGACCTGGCAAACTCTGTTCTGGATCTTATCCAAACAATTTTACAACAACATAACATTAGGTCACTTACGGACAAAGATACTCTTAAGGCTCAAAAATGCCGAGGACACACTGTGAGGTGACCGTGCTTGACTGACTTTATTTATTTATTTTTTTACTCAAAAGTCAAAACCATCTGGCCCTTTTAATGGGTTGTAAAAAAACAAAGAAATGTTTTTGTTTTTTTGTTTTAATGAAAATCTTTTGTGTAAAGTAGCGTAAACCCAATCCACTACAATGTGTCTGAGCCTGATGGATTAGATTTTGGACCACCGGACTAAATGTATGRTACTGGATTGGGCTTGACATGGTTTGAGACAAACAGAGGTGCCGCCATTGCCATATGTTGATCAACATGGACCAAATGCTTACGTGTTCAGAGCCCAAGATAAAGACAGTTGACACACTAGGAACTAAATGTTTTGCTATAAATTGTGGCACATAACAAAATTCACAGATAAAAGCACAATGAGAAGCATTTCTTGTACTAAGCTGTAGTAAAGTAATCATTTAAGGTCAGCAATGACGGCTGCAGGTAGACTCTTGTAAACTATCCACCAAATTTAAACACAATCAATAAACAGTTATCAGTGTTTCAAAAGTAGGATGTACTGGTACATGCAAAATAATCCAGTAGTGTTTTTTCACAGCTCAAACTTAACAGCTGCTATGATACAATACAATTAATATGTAATAAGCCATTTAACCTCAATATGCTAAATTAAAACATTTTATTCCAACACAGTGTTATGTAGTTTACAGATAAAGTGCTCTCCTGGAATAGAGTGTGTATATAGACTTCTGTGAATTAACAAACGGGCATCATATGTCAAAGTATTTTTTACAATAATTTAATATACAACTAAAAGAATACAATAAAATATGAACCAATAATTAAAATGTTAAACAGTATGGTTATTCTACAGACACATACAGTTGTAATAGGCTTGGTAAATGTGAGGGACCTCCTGGTCTCCAATGGGGTGGAAAGGGGTTTGGTTATAAAATAAATAAATAAAAATCCAAATAATTAACTAAAATAAGTGTCCAGTCTCATGCAGCACACAACTATTGAGTCTGAAATATTACCCTTTAATTGTCTTTAATTCTGCATCTCTTTATTAAATTAATCCAACCCAGCTGAATGAAATTGGCACCAGAAACCCCACACATGCKCAGAACTTACCACATCTGAACCATTTTAATTGTCACTGGTATTTACTATTACAATTTGAAAACAGTATTCCTATGTAAAATATATACCTGATAAATTACTATTTTAACTGGGTGACTGTACCAGACTAACTAATTAATAAAGTGTGTCACAATCAATGTGCAAAATATGAAAAAATATGGGTCAGGTCAACCCTATAAATTGCTACTTTAAATGTATATTTTTATTAGCATTGGCCAGTAAAAACATTCATAGATCGTTAGATATTGTGTGTATCTTGCACAATCACTATATCTAAAAACTTGCTTTAAAAGGCTCAAAATGACAGAGAAATGCTGGGATCTGTAGGATGAACATAGCATTCTTACACCCACAATCAACACATCGTAATGGCAGCGACCTTTACATGGAAGTACACAATAGAACCAATAGGCCATGTCCTATCCAGTAATGTGTATCGGTGGTACATACACTGTACAGTACAGCTATGGGGTGCCAAGTGTAAAATAAAATAGAAAAAGAGCTAAGTAATGAAAAATGTCTTAGTGATTGTTTTTTTTGTTTGTTTTTGTTGTTTTTTTTTGCTTATTTGTTGTGTTTAAATTTTTTCCACTAAAATTTTACTGTTATTTAGCTCACTATTTGTATATTTTGCTCATTTTTACTAAATGTTAAATCTAAATGATTAAAAATATGTACATATTAAATGCTAAATCTAAATGTAAAAGTTAAGTATTTTGGAATGGAATGCAGCCTTTGCTATGTTGGGATGTCATCATCGTGAGACACTAGCAACTCCTGGCGCTCCAATGCAGCTAAAGCTTCAGTACAACATCTCTAACTTGCAGTTGGGACTGGTGTCTGAGCTGCACTTCCAACTGCTGGACCACAGGGACCACCCGTATTGTTTTCAGTGAATGCAGTTTGAGTTTAGATTTTAAATACCATCTTTAGCAGCGTTAGCGGGGGTTAGTGTCGATGTTTGTCGCAGGATGATGACATCATCTTGTTATCCTAACATGAGCCGAGGAACAAAAGCAAAGGCTGCATTCCTTTCCAAAATACTTAAATATAAACTTCAYCTTTTACATATAGATTTTTTTAATTTTAGATTTATGATTTAATATTTACAAACATTTTTTTAATCATTTAATTTTAACATTTAGTAAAAATTTTGAAATTGTAGGGACAGTGATCCAAATAACAGTAAAATGTTAGTGGAAAACTAAATGTGTCAGTGACTTTTTTTTTTTAACCTTTTCTTTTATACTTGGCACACATTACAGCAACCAGAAGTACTTTTGTTACAAGATAGAACAGTGTTATTTTTGAATGGACTATTTTTACCTTCAAGTTTTCTAAGAAATATTGATGATTGTTTTTTTTCTGTTTTAAATTAAAATAAAAATCTTGTTTTTTGTTTAGCAGTGAAATTGAGTTGAAGGTATTTATTATATGATTGATTGTTTTCAAGCATTATCACACATTTAGTTTTTGTTGTTTTTCTGCTATTTAGTGTATGACTAGTATACCTATGTACAAGTTGGTGCTGCAAAAATTAAAATTATATGTTGATTGTAGCAGTGGTTGCAGAGAGTGCACAGAGTGCTAACCGTATAGTTTTCWGTGGAGTTGCTGCTGTTGTGCAATTAAAAGCGGTTCATGTTTGAGAAATCATCTTCCCTCATCATGACCGACATTGAGGAAGAAATGGGAAGATTTGGGCCTGTGAGCGTTTTGCTCACTACAAAGTTATGAGCCATGCACATCTACAAACTGATCARAAGCCTTCATGAGGAGGCTTACGCTTAAATGACCCCATAAAGTGCAGTAAGGTTAAGACATTAAAACATCTGGACGGCCACATAATTTATCTGCAGGAGACTCACCCATGGGATAAGGATGTTGAGTTAAAACGAGGGTGGATTGATCAGGTTCACGCCTCTTCCTTTATTGGCAATTCAAGAGGTGTTGCAAAAATCTTTCATAGAGCTATCCCTTTCCACGGTATTAGTCCTGTGTTTAGAAAGTGTTCTCCCATCCATTCATTAATCTTTCTATTGCCGCTAAAATTAACTGTTAAAATGAATATTTTACCATGATTCTTATATTTTTTCAGTGTTTACCAATTTCTATTCCTCTCTTCTTCTAAAAAAAGGGTAGACAGTCTTAACCTAGAGTTAATTTGGAACAAGAAGACAAAGAATGTGGCTTCAGGTCTTACAAAGACCCAATGGTGGAATGGCTTTGCAGAATATGTTGTTTTATTACCAGGCAGCCAATATAAAAACTTAAATGACTTAGCTTAGTCACCTAACCACTAGTTAACGAGGCCAACCTAGCCTGTTCAGCAACACTGAAGCTCTTTTATACTCTCCTCTTGCCCACCCCATGTCCTTTAACAACGTTATCGTGGGCTCCTATCTAAAAATATGGACCGAATTTAGATGCTGCTTTGATTTACAAGTATTTTCTGTTAAAGCACCATTAATTGGGAATCATGTTTCTCCCATCTTTGCAGAATGCCTTCACTGGATGGGCAAGATTGAAAACCTAAGAGCCTTTTTTTTTTCCACGTTCGAAACTTTGTTGCTCATTTAAGGATTTTTCTGCTCTCCCCAGTATTGTGGCTCAAAGACTTGATGGCATTTTTTAACTTTGTRGGCCAAGAAGGTGATTCTGTTAAAATGGAAATCTTTAGTTCCACCTTTCCATATGGACTGGGTCAAGGAAGTGATCATCAAGAATTGAACAAGATCAGACTGACCTTGTCTAGGACTGGACACAAATTTGCYGAGACTTGGACTTTTTTTTTAATGGAGAGCACATCTTGTAATGACACTATGTTCCTGCTCATTATATTTTKTATTTATTTTCCTTCATCCTAAACAGTAACACTAATATACTGATACTTTGAAATGCAGTGTGTTAAAATGAGAAACCTAAAAAAAGACAACCCATTAACATTTTAAAGAAAATATTTATTACAAGCATTTGTAGCTACATCAAAAGCATATATTGTCACATCCATGGTAGTGAACAGGTGCAAACAAAGGTGTGTTGCCACCAGTTTTGAGCACAGATTGTGAGTAATGTGGAACCTGTTGCAGGAAACATGGTTTTAAAAGTTTATGGCACTTAACTGTAAAAGAAGTGGGACCTTTGACTTGTTTCCATAAAGTATAAACAAAGTTCATTTAGTAGAAACAWTTTTTTGTAATCATACACTTCAAACATGTCTTTGAATCATGGATATAAAAATACAAGTATTCAAATTTTAACTTATGTACAGTTTTCGTACGGTTATGCATTAAATAATTTGGTTAGTTTCTATTTTCTACTTGAATGATCACTGATCTGTACAATAGCATGACTATTTTCATGCACAAATATACTATTGTAAAAGGTTCAGTTGAAAACAAAACACTTAAAAAACAGAAAAATGTGTTTAAAGTTCCTTCCTTTTTCTAAATACCTGTCTAGGAACTCAATTCCAACTCTTCCTCATCCTATTTGTGCTGAACTTTAGTAAAACCGAACATCTAGACCAGTTTTTATACATGTAAAAGGAAGTTTTCAAACTTTGTTGCAAATGTTTTGAAAAAAAAATCTGTTTTAATAYGTGGTTTGTTTTTCTTAAACCAGTTTTTATTGCTTTGTGTCAAACACATTAAAACTTAAATATGTTTTGTTAAGAAATTATACAATTTTTGGAGTTGTGGCTCTTTCGGCGACCAGTCTGTGATCCACGATGGCTTAGGGAAGTGAGGGCTGTGACTCTTGTTGGGTAGTCCTCTGCATAGTAGCGCCCAACAGCTCGAGGCTGAGGGATTGGTTGGCCTAAAAAATAGCCTTCCTCCTCTGAGTCTGATGATGAAGAAGAGCAAGTAGAGCACAAGTCCTCCTCATCTCTGTAAAGACCCATTAAATGTTCAACTCTTGGGTCATTTTTAGCAGTGTTCCGAAACATATAATCGGACCGGATTTGGGAGTAAGCCAAAGGCAAGTTGTGTGAGGGATGCTGGAGGTGCATAGCACCACAAGAAGGGTTTCCTAGATCCTGCTGCCTGGGCTCAAARGGTCTCTGCGCTCTCTCCATAGGCACCATGTGTAGGGCGTTGTCTGAACGGGTTTTGCGGCTACGATGGCGCCGGCCCTGCCGGTGGTGGTTTTCCCTTCTGTGCCCATGTTGGCTTGTTGAGCGGCTTCTTTCTCTTCTCAGCTCATCTGGGCAGTACCCCCTCCTCTGTGGTCTCTCASTCATGGGGTGCTTTGTAATACTGACATCAAAATTATCATTATATCCATTGTCCACGGTGTCTTCTGAGAACTTAACCACCTGAGGCGGCCTGGATTGCGACTTGCTCCTCCTCAGAGCTGGAGGTTGAACAAAAGATGGAGGGAGTCCGTCTGAATGAGGAGACAATGAGAGAAGTCCTCCTGGAGTGCCTCCCCTCATTCCAGTCTCATTCTCTACCTCCTGGCCTCTCTTTTCTAAGCTGAGATTGAGTGAGTTGGCACTGTGGTGAAGATGAGATGAATTAAACGTTCCCATGTTGCTCATCTTTTCGCAGTCGACAGTCAAGGAGGAATCCTGCATGACATGAAGAGTGTAGACCGTAGGTCTGTCCTTGTTGTCTCCATCTATTGAAGCACCTGAGGGAGACAAACAAGAAGGTTGTTTTCACTGTTCTTTTGACTTTAAAATAAAGTACAACTAAGTCATTGCTCTCAGCATAATCCTTACCAGTGATATTTGAGAGGGCCAAGGAATCCATGGAGTCTCCAACACCCTTCTCAACCTTCCTCAGCTCATCGGCAATACATTCAAGAGAGTCCTCATACCACTGTCTTGTGTCTGACCAGAAGACTTGTTTTCCTGCTTCAGGCTGGTCCTGATCTTGATCCAGCTCCAGCTCCTGGATCTTTCTGGCACTGGCAGGACCAGGGTGGCTCCCATAGGCGGAATCTCCAAGGCCGTCTTGTGACTGAGCCCAGTACATTTCTGGCAGGTGCTTATTATCCATCAGTCGAGGGCTAAGGCTGTTGGCCCGGGACTGACTGGAAATCTGACTCTGTGTTGGACTGGCAGGGGTGGGAGAGGAGGTGCTAATCCCCATAACTGTGGAATCGGGCTTTAGCCAGGGATCAGACACACTTATTAGCCTGTTCGTGTCACTAGTAAGGCTGGGTGATTTAAGGGATGGCTGCTGAAGTTGGTGTAGCATCCCACTGTCACCAAACTTGAGCAGCAACTGAGTCATATAGTCGTCATGCTGGGCCCACTCCTCTGGATCCTCATCTCCACCAGCATCCTGCTCCTCCCGCTCCTTCCAGAACCTCTCCTCCTCTAGGCCCATATGGCTCAGTTTACGTCCAACAACGTCAATGTCGCCTTCTGCATCTCTGCTGCCCTCATTGTTCTCGAATCTTTGCTCGTAGCATGGGACGGCGGCGGGAGGATTAAACAGCTGCGACTGTCTCCACTGTTCAGCTGGTCGGCTGCTCTTCCCCATACGAACGCTGCGTCGTGACTCACGCGAGCGAGCAGATTGGAACGCGGAATCTGACGAGTCTGAAGCATGCATGTCCTCCCCCTGGCTGCAGGCCTTTGAGCAATAGATGCGGCCTTGTTTGGGCAAGAATGGACAACCCAGCAAGGATGTCTTACACTGAGCACAACAAAAGCACTGGTCTGTGGCGTGCCAGTGTACGCCTTCATAGGTCATCTGGGCATGGTCAACACCTAAAGGAACGAGTCACAAAAAGAAAAAAACAGTGTAACCTTGGTGTTCCAGGATAAAATATTGAAGAATCAGAAACATGGTTTACCAATGTTTTCGCCACAAGCCTCGCAGTACTCCGCGTACAGGGACTCAAAGCACCCACAGCAATAGGGCCGTCCATTTTTCATGATGTATCGCTGCCCCCCCAGCATTGTCCCACACTCAAAACAGGCAAAGTGCTTCATGTGCCAGTGACGACCCTCTGCCTCTGTGCACTCGTCTGCGAGGATAATCTATTTAAAAAATTGGCATCTTATTAATTCAGAGTGATTTTTAAAACATGGCAAGTGCTCCTATCGCGCCACTTACCTCGTCACAAGAGGAGCACCGTGGTTTGAGGAGCTCCGCGTGGTGTCTTCCGCAGAAGATTTTGCCATTTTGACAGAAATAGATGAGATCCACCAGGAGCTCTTGACACGTGGCGCACACAAAGCAGGCTGGATGCCAGCAAGGACTTGGGCCGGCTCTGGAGGCAAAAATAGCCATTTCCCCTCCATTAATGCCACCGTGACACTGTTTAAACACAAACACAAAAAAAATCACGTGGGGTTAATTTGTAGAACCGATGTATGGAACAAGATAACTGTCAGAATTATTGTATGTGTAAGAGTCTAAATTTGTACATGTAAGTCTATAAACGTACATAAATTTGTTACAGTTTTGCCACGTCACTAGTACGAATCAAATTTACAAGTACAAATCAAATGTACAAGTATGAATCAAATTTACAAGTATGAATCAAATTTACAAGTACGGATCAAATTTACAAGTATGAATCAAATTTACAAGAACAATTCTTATGTGAGAATTCAAGTTTTTAAGTTACAAATACAAGTAAAAAAGTTATAACTTTGCCACATTACAAGTACAAATCAAATTTACAAGTACAATTCTTTTACCTGTCAAAATAACAGACATTATGCATGGAACACCGAAAACATAGATTGCAAACAGTAACTAAGCCAGACCACTAGGGGGACATGACCACTGCCTCATTTGGGACCAGACAAACTCTTTATAAACAACAATTTGCTGAAGGGAAAAACATTTGGAGGCTTTTCAGTTTGTCATTCATGTCATGTAGTACAACAATAAAGTAGATAGTGGATTTATGATGAACAACCAAAAAGGAAAACTGATGCATTCATAAAATCGACTGCATAATGGAAAAAATAATGCAAGTTCAAAAACACTTAACGGCAGTGCTCTGACCTGGCCAGCAGGGGGACTAAAGTCCACCATCAAACCCCTAAACAACTGTAAGTTAAACTCTATCTTTTCGGTGTTCCATGCATAATGTCTGTTATTTTGACAGATAAAAGAATTGTACTTGTAAATTTGATTCGTACTTGTAAATTTGATGCGTACTTGTAAATTTGATTCATACTTGTAAATTTGATTCATACTTGTAAATTTGATTCGTACTTGTAAATTTGATTTGCACTTGTACATTTGATTTGTACTTGTAATGTGGCAAAGTTGTAACAAATTTATGTACGTTTATAGACTTACATGTACAAATTTAGACTCTTGCACATACAATAATTCTGACAGTTATCTTATCCCATACTGATGGTTTTAATTACTCTACCAATAAAATCCAACTGAAGAGATGACAAAACAAACCTCAAAATAAGTATGTGATAGAGCTGGAGCCCGTGACCCATGAGAAATGTTGCATGTTGGTATGAAATCATCAATAAACCATTGGACAGCACCTTTGCCCTGTAAACTGGCCTTGGCTTTCCAGCAAAACATTCTCAGAAAGCATGTCTGAACYTGCAGTCTTTATATAACTAAACATGCTTATTTATGAGCCCACCATAGGCAGCTATGCGTGCCCAGCTGTTGGTCATTATTACTGACTCGGACACACTGGGGCCTTGAAAACGGTGGCGTTGCACGTCCCTGAAAGTTAAGGCACGTATGTCATCGCCGTATGCCCTAAAGATGAGTGTGTGGTTGACAAGAACACATGTTTGCAGAGCTCTGGGTGTCTGGTATGTCTGAGTCTTTCGAGCTTGTGCGTGGCCTTGCATCCACTCGGTTAGCATCTGTGTCCGGGTGGTGACAGACTGCATCTGAATGATCGTGGGGGGAATTACATGAGTTCCATTTCATCTGCTCCTGTTAGGCACGTGGTAAACGATGTGGTTCACTCATTTGTTCGGGTTGAATCCGGCGGAAGCCACAGATACTAATATTTAGGTTGGCGTGATGAAAGGAGAACATTTCGAAGATTTACGATTGCGGACCAACTGAACGGTTTGAATGTTATTGTTTAAAACAGCGTCGCCAAATTAGGGGAACCAAAAAAATGCTTTTTTTGTTCATCGCAATGTAAAAATCTAGCAATAATCCCACAAAATGCATCTAAAACTATCCAGTGATACGAGTTAATGTGTAATTATTTGCTACATGCTTTAACTTGCCAGGAGAAAAACAGATTTTAAAGGGGCAATATCATGTAAAATCAACTTTTTTGAGTTTTATATCTTGTTATAATGTTATACTCTCATAAAAAAAAACATGCCCAAAGCCTTGCTCTGACTCATTCATGCAGGTT